TCATCAAGGTAGACAAAGACGAACTTGTTCAGCATCTCCCGCAAGACATCATTGATCAATGCCTGGAAGACGGCTGGGGCATTGACCAGGCCAAAGGGCATTACCCTGTACTCATAGTGGCCTGTCGGGGTGTTGAAAGCCGTCTTCCACTCGTCACCTTCTCGAATCCTGACCAGATGGTAGGCATTTCGGAGATCTAACTTAGTGAATATGGTGGCACCTTGCAGGATCTCAAAAGCAGATGTCATCAGGGGCAGAGGGTAACGATTCTTAATGGTGATGTGGTTAAGACCCCTGTAGTCGATGCAAGGCCTGAGGTCACCATCCTTCTTCTCAACAAAGAAAAACCCAGCTCCAGCAGGTGAGGTCGAAGAACGAATAAAACCATTATCCAAGGCTTCCTTGAGGTACTTCTCCATAGCAACCCTCTCAGGAGCAGAGAGAGAGTAAAGCCTACCCCGCGGTGGACATGCTCCAGGAACCAAATCAATGGCACAGTCATATGGTCTGTGTGGAGGAAGGGAGGTGGCTCGGGACTTGCTGAAGACTTCTATGAGATCAGCATACTCTGGAGGAACTCGTGATAGTTCAGGGAGAAACATAGGAGGCATAATACTCTGGGTCTTTGAAATGGGAAGCTGAAGTGTATCTGTGGGCTGGGGAACTTGATACGTCTCGGGATGAAAAGTTGGGCACTTAGTGGTGTCAGATTTGGCCTGAGAAAAAGGTAGCCCTTGAAAGTTAGACACGTCTGGATTGAGATTGGCAGGCCACCTGGAGAGTGTCGACACTGGCCCTGAGTTTATCTCCAGTATCTCAGTAGAACGGCAAAAAGAAAGAGCAGAAACACAACAATTAGTTCCCCAACCTTTAACTACACCTCTTGACCAGTCAATATTTGGGTTGTGACAAGTTAGCCATGGAAATCCAAGAACTAAGGGGAGTTCTGGTGACTGGATAAGAAAAAACTGTATTAGTTCCTTGTGACACCCAATTTCAAACTGAATAAGCGAAGTGCAGTGACTAACCTGTCCTGACCCCAGAGGTCTGCCATCAAGAGCTGTGATGGTTAGAGGTTTCTGGAGGAGCACGGATGGGATACCCAAACGTCTGGCTACATCTAGATCCAAAAAGTTCCCAGCAGCCCCAGAGTCGATGAAAGCACTAAGCTGGTGATTCTGGTTGTCGTGGGAGATGGTGGCTTGGATCGTAACTCCAGAGGTTGCAGGATGAGGGAAGATATCTACTCTCGTTCCAGTTCCCCCTTTCCTGGACGAGAACTGGCTTTTCCCGACAGTTCAGGACAGTTGGACCGGAAATGACCAGACTTTCCACAGTACAGACAGCGTCGCTCCCTCATCCGTCGATCCCTTTCTGTCTGGGTTAATCTAGTTCTACCCAGCTGCATGGGTTCCTCCAGATCACTGGGTTTCCAGAGTGGTTCAACAGTATTGGAAGATACCTGAGGACGATACACACTGGTCTCCCGATGTCGTTCCTGTTGTCGTTCTCGGATACGATGATCTACTCGGATAGCCACCTCGATTAGGGATTCCAAATCCGGAGAAGGGTCTCTAAATGCTAACTCATCCTTGAGTTCTGGAGACAAGGCCTGGTGGAATGTGGCCCTCAAGGCTCGCTGGTCCCATCCACTCTCTGAAGCTAGGGTACGAAACTCAATGGCAAACTCCGCCACACTTCGAGTGCCTTGAGAGAGTCGAAGCAAACGGTAGTCCACATCACCTGTGCTGGCTGGATGTTGGAAGACTCTCTTCATTTCAGCAATGAAGCTGTTACTGTTTGCAGTGAGTGGTGCATGTTGGTCCCACAAAGCCGAGGCCCAGTCTAAAGCCTTGCCAGTAAGAAGGGTAATTATGTAAGCAACCTTGCTGCTCTCTGTGGGGAAGCTGCCAGGTTGTAGTTGAAATACTAGGGTGCATTGGGTGACAAACCCACGACACTTCTCAGGACTGCCATCAAATCGTTCTGGTGCTGGTAATTTGGGTTCTGACAGAGAAACGACCACTGCTTGAGAAGGATTACCCTGTGTCGGCTGAGATTCTTGAGCTGAAGGGCCTGGATTCTGAAGATTTAAACGTTGAAGAATATCAGAAAGGATCTGCTCATGTTGCTGAATGGCTGCAGCTTGCCCTGCAATGGCAGACAGAATGCGATCCACATTAGAGGGTGGTGAAGTCTCTTCTGCTGGATTCATAATATGGTTCAGTCTTGCTGTAACGAGGCTGTTCAAGGTGGGGATAGAACCCGGGTCTCTTGTGTTCTAAGTCACTGAATTAACAGATTGAGCTAACTCCCCAATGGATGAATCCAAGAGCAGAGGTGGTCAAAAAGCAAGGAGTCGTAGATCTTCAATGAAAGACAAACTTTACTGATAAAAAGTACAACAAAACAAAGGAAGCCGGGCTACCAAGAAACAGTAAAAAGAAAAACAGACACAAGGGTCCAACGATATAAACTTAAACATTAACAGGCTGGCTTGCAACTGGTAACATAGGCTCAAGACTGAACAATAAAGCATGGCACAAACACACTTAAATAGGGCAAGACACAGGTGTGATAGATCAGGCATAATGAGAAGTAGTGTTCAGCAGGAGTCAGGTGAGAAGCGCCACCTGCCGACCAGGAGGAAAATAGCAGTCCCGTTAAAGGATCCTTACAGATGCTTTGCTTTGGACGAGTCCATCATGCACTGCCGGGCGGGGTTGGGATTAGGCAAGAAGAATTTGTGCATTGAATATAATGTTAGAAAAATTAAACCATACACTGTCAACTAATGATGTGTAGACCATCGTTCTTTTGTTACTCAGTATAGTTTTTATTAAGGATGGGGATCGAGACCCGGTTCTGAAAGGACCCAAACTTTCTCTAAAATCAATAAGGTCCGAGCTTATCGGATACTGCTACTGTTTCTGATGATGGCACCGAAACGCGGTATTAAACGGGCTCGATCGGGACTGTTTATTATCAGGCTGCAGCTTCCCCTCCATTCTGTCGCGCACACAGCGCCCTGCAGAGACGCAGACCGCAGCTTCGTCGCTGTGGAGACGGGGAAGTTAAGTTAGCTCCAAACTACTTAATTTGCCGACAGCTACGCTCCTTATGTGCAATAAAACCTTTGCGAGTAAAAAGACAATACTTTATAATTATCAGTACACCTGTGTGTAAGGTAAACATGTAGAAAGGGTTAATTATCTCTGTCCTCAGTCTCTCATCCTGTATGTTCTAGTAACAGCTTCTATTAACCCAAGCACCGAGGCAAGTAGGCTTCCTTGTACCAGTGAAATCAAGGCAGTAGTAGTAGATTCGATCACATCTCTCTAACCAATCCTGCTTCAGACTGATGTTGGCACCTCCCACTCAATTAGCATACAGGCGGAGGGAAAAATAAATGTAGAAATGTGGAAATACAGAAATAAATAAATGTAGAAATGTGGAAATACAGAAATAAATAAATGTAGAAATGTGGAAATACAGAAATAAATAAATGTAGAAATAAATATATAAATAAATATATAAATACATAAATGTAGAAATAAATGTAGAAATACATAAATAAATACATAAAGAAATGCATAAATAAATAAATAAATAAATAAATAAATAAATACATGTAAAAATACAGAAATAGCCATTTATATTACCAAAATGTATTTATTTTTTACTATATTTCAGCATTTATTTATTTATTTCTACTTTTATTTATTTATTTTTCCTCATGTCATTTTTAGTCCTTCATAAGAGACAACCCAACTGCAGTGATTATAGAGATAGTGTGATATGGGAACATCTGGTGTAATAACAATCACAGGGATGTTCTATTCTATTCTAGTAATTATAGTACAGCTGTTGTTATCATAAGGTTCTAAGTAAGTATAGTATACATATATTTGAATAACTAACTAATGAAGGAACGAACTGACGAACGAATGGACAAACAAACTAATTAAATTAATTAATTAATTAATTAACAAATTAATTAATTAATTAATTAAATTCCACAATTGGATTTTTTTTAATTAAATAACTTATACTGTAAATGTAAAATATAAACTTTTTTTATAAACAAGTTTAGGTTATACTTTATTTTAAGGTGTCTTTGTTACACTGTAATTATACATTAAAGTACTGAATAATATTAAGTAATTACATGTACTTACTATAGGGTTAGGATTAGGGTTTGCTTTGGTTTGGTTTAGGGTTAGTTGCATGTAATTATGCATGCCTTATATCATTTATAGTATAGTATTTATACTATAACTACATGTAACGTATGTAACAATAACACTGTAAAATAAAGTGTTACCCACGTTTATTTTTCAGTAACTGTTTAAAAAAAACATATCTGTGACCTAAATGTTATCGTACAGCAACCTTGAGAAAAAGTTACACGTTTTTTTTTTTTGTAATTCAAATGTGTAAAGGTGAGGTTATAGGCACACTTTTACGGTCAAAAAATATCCATTGTCAATAGTGTAATGATGTTTAAAGCAAACCAAGAAGCTTTTTGTTCGATTAGCGGTGGCCTATTTGCATGATCAAGCTGACCATGAGTGAAAACCTCATAGGGAACTTTTCCACCTCAAATGGATTCCTATTGAAATCACTTGATTTCGCCAGTGATATTTCGCAGAGCAACAATAAATGTGACCGCACATTAACTGAGAATCATGTTGATGCTGGTTCAAATCCTGCTTGGAGTGGCACAAAAGTAGGACCAGTTAAGTTGGTGCCGTGACCCGGATCCGAGCTCCCTGGCTTCAAGAGGTGTCCTTGTTGGAGAGAATGTCGTCGGTTCAAGCCCTGCTCTTAGCGGGCCAAGGCATTATGTCTTGTTCACATTATAATTGTTTTAGGTGAAAATTATATAAAGGTAATTTAAAACGTTACTGTGACACATAACTGTAAAAACGTTTTGTGCCTGCTTTGCCTTTCCTTGTTTGTTTGTTTTTCAACTCACTTTTTCATACCTTTCCTTGCAGATCGTTTTTGAAGCCACAGTCTCATCCGAGCAGAAGGGATACATCGCCCTGGATGATATAGTGCTGTTAAACTACCCCTGCTGTAAGTTCTGTCCCTCTACACACACACAAAAACACATTCTCACTGACCTTTTCCAGCCTTGAGGGGGGCGTATGACCAGGTTGGCCCACCCAGATTGAGGAACAAAGGTGGCCATTTCCTCTCATCAGAGTCTCGGGGTACTTACTTTTGATCTGAATAGCCATCATGAAAGACAATTATCCACTGACACTTTGCCTTCCATTTCTCTTGTTCTTGCTCACATCCACTTCCTGCGGCTGACCTTTTTGTCCATATATCACTCTATCTCTCTGTCCCAGCGGTCACCGTCTCAGATTTATTTATTTTCTTGGGGAGAAGAAAGAAAAAAGGGCTTCTCTCTTTGGCTTTTGTGCCCTGTGTTCTGCTACTTAATCTGTTGCTTCACTCAGGTGTGAATAAGAGTGAATCTCCTGTGTCCATATCTGCTCTGTTATTTTTCTCCCTTCTCACTCTTCCCATGTCCTCACTCACCTGCTGACCAACACTTCATTAGCTCTGCTGGAAGTTTGTGTTAGTGGGCACCTTATAATTCTGCTCCAGTAGTTTGGACTGGGGCGCTCGAAGCCACAACCCACTGTGGGTCTCACTACCTGCTGACTTCTGGGAAATGCAGTGCAGTCATGCTGACAGGAATGCTGGAGAAAAGAGATTGTATGTGGATAGGGATCGTGCTGTTGAATTGTGAGACTCAGTTTGTGGGCTGCTTTAATTTGATGGAGTTGACTGTAGGCCTCCTGCGTTTCAATTTTACACCCCACAGCAAGAACGTAATTGCAAATGCTCCAGAAACAGACACCAAACAGACACACAAAGTCTTTTTACCCAAGTTTGTAAGCCCAGTGTTGAACTTTTTAGAGAGGTCATTTGTTCTGCATGAGTGCGGAGACGCTCTTACAAGAAGAGAAAGAGACATTGTGGTGATAATTTAACAAAACTTTGCTCATTAGTGGAAAAACCCTGCTATTACTATTACTTATATTTAGGGTTAATGATTTGAACAAGCACTCTTGCTCTACAACACTTGGGCGCATAACCATCCCACAAATCTTTTGAGATGAAAGTTAATTAAATTTTCTGGTTTCGTCAGTACATTAAGTTCCATTTGACACCTGGGCTGAATTTCCTACAAGTAACGTGAGTAAGTTGACCATGGAGAACATTGGTGACAATCAGTTTGGGCTCACAATGCTTTTGGGAAATGCAGCCCTAGACAGTTTAAAAGCTCTCTGTTCAAAATGCTGTTTTAGGCTGATAAAAGCTTTATTACGGCATTTGAAAAAAACACCCCGAGGCTCTGGAATGCTCAAGAACCTTACAATTGATTTTCTTGCTGTAATTTTTTTTCCCTACACATTAGAACTACTTTCTTGGAAACTGTGATAGCACTAAAATCATTGCCTTCTGCCCAGATTTAAATAATGTAGACAGGGCTCTAAGTGATCAGCACCACGGACAGCTCTACTTAAACTGGCACTGGATAATCACAATTCCGTAGGAGTCTGGGATTTTTTTTTAAAGAAATTAAAACTTTTATTCAGAAACAATGCATGACAGCAAAGACTTTTACTTTTTTATAAATTATTCTATATCAAATAAATTGTGTTATTTTGAATTTTCTATTCATTGAATATCCTGAAAAGAAAACAATCCACAAACATTACCATGATTGCCAGAGCATACCAGGATGAAATCAGACCAATGAACTCTGAGATTTAGCTAGTAATACGTTATGGATGGGGAAATATTAATTTACTGATAACAGATGGCCATGCTTTCAGCGTTTTTTAAAAGTTACATTCATATTTAAAAACACTGAGATATATCTACTATTGCAATTTTCTGGATTCCGTACTATTGGTGTGTATAGTACAGTAACAGTGAATTTTAGAGACAGGAAGATGATGCTCAGTTTGCCAAATTTACACATTGCTGATGGAGACCAACTGAAAACATGGCAAAAACTGCTGACAGTCTCTGCAAACCTAAAATAAATCGCTAACTGATCACTATATTCCCTGACATGACATTATTTCGCTTTCTTGCTTGCAAGTAGTATTCATGTTTACAACTACTAAATCAACTAGGTATATGTACTTTATTAATCTGCAGTTATTATTATGCAGTTATTAATACATAAAATACTATAAAACAATCTGTAACACTTTATTTTACAGTGTCCTTGTTACATATGTTATATGTACTTTCTGTAGTAATAACTGTAAATTATGCATAAATACAAGGAACTAACCCTCAACCAAACCCTATTCCTAACCCTACCTTACAGTAAGTACATGTTGTTAATTTATATTACTCAGCTATACGTAAATATATAATTACACTGTAGCAAGGACACCTTAACATAAAGTGTAATCAAACAATAATTTAAAATACAACTAATTATAAAAGCAAATTTTGCATAATTACAAGCAACTAACCCTAAACAAAACCCTCAGCCTAATCCTATAGTAAGTACATGTAGTTAATTGATATTACTCAGTACTTATTTGTGTAATTACTGTTACAACATCACCCTAAAATAAAGTGTAACCTAAACTGAATTATTATACCTATAAATTTGATTTAATATAAGCAACCACGGATGAAGTTCGGTGATTTGAAGATATTGCCTTTGTAGACAGAGCACCTAGGTGTTGAAACAGCTTGATAGTTCAGACAGTAGTAGCGTATGTAATTCCATCTGCACTTTCAACTGGCTGTGCATTACCTGCAGCATAATGCTCATGGATGATAATAGAGGGTGTTTCTGAGAAAAGCCAGCGAGCCATACTGTCGGTTCAAGACAGTCCGACTCACCTCAGAACCACTGTTTCTCTCTGAAAAACTCACCCAGAGTCCCTTACTGCTGAAAAAAAAAGAAAGAAAAACCTCACCTCAAGCAACAAGCATTTGTCGACTTGAATGACAATGGAGTGAAGAACCTGTCCCAGGGTCAGGGTGGAAGACTGTCACCATGGAGACAGGTTGGCAACACTTTACTTGAAGGGGGGTGTGCATAAGACTGACATGACACCTTCATAACCATGACATGACATATGTCATGAATATGAAGTAGGGTTTGTGCATGTTTATGACAACTGTCATTAAGTGTCTTTCGCTCAATAATGACATTTTGAATGCAAATATGACATTGTTTAAGATGTCTTTGTTATGACATCTTGACATAAACCATAACATCATAACCTGTCAGTGTATTTGTCATGACAACTTGACATTAAATTAAATTAAACTGTCATGTGGTTGGTTTTGACACTGGCTGTCATGAGGTCATTATAACTGTGTCATGAATATTTTTCGTGACCTCAACTACAGTGGTACAAATTGAATTTGTCATTAAAAAGTTATAATGGCCTCATGACAGCCAATGTCAAAACCAACCACCTGACAGTAATGTAATGTTAACCAATAAAGCTAAGTGGTTTCTTAAGTTTGATAATTAATCTGCTAGGTCATGTTTATGACCGGTTGTGTTGTCTTAGTAATGTCAAGTTGTCATGACAAAGACACTGGCAGGTTATGATGTATTTGTTTATGTCAAGGTGTCATAACAAAGACATCTCAAACAATGTCATATTTGCATTAAAAATGTCATGACTGAGCGAATGACACTTAATGACAGTTGTCATAAACATGCATACAACTTCCTTCATATTCATAACATGTGTCATGTCATGATTATGAAGGTGTCATGTTAGTCTTATGCACACCCCTTCAAGTAAAGTGTTACCGACAGGTTTCCCAAAAACACACTCTAAAAAATGCTGGGTTGTTTTAACCCAATTTTGGGTCAAATATGGACAAACCCAGCATTTTTAAATTAAATTTTTAACCCAATGTTAGAGTTTGTCCATATTTGACCCAAAATTGGGTTAAAACAACCCAGCATTTTTTAGAGTGCACCAGATCACTGTGGTCCTCTGCTGATGGTCCTCCGCCCAACAGATATCTGTTCACACACACACATTCACAAAGGCTGCGTTGGCAGTCTTATACAATATCAGACAGCCCAACCTTAGGCGTTCACACTCTTGACATTTTTGTGTTTGCTTCTGGTTGTGTTTACTCCACATGTGTTTTCACCAAACAAAATCTGTCAAATCTTTGAATTTGCTTGACTAAGCCTGGGACACACTAGACAATTTTCAAATCTTAACCACGCAGAACAAAAGCACGTAACATCCAGTCGGTGAAGCTTGTTCACTCTCATTAGCTGTTGTGGGTATCCCATCGAAGGCAGCCCGATCAAGAGTCAGGGAGGCTCCAAATCCACCGGGAGCGGTAAAATAATCGTAATGAAACCACACAATTGATGATTTTTTGGGACAAAAAGTCAGTTGCGGCAAGCCTCGAATCGCTAACTTTAGAATGGACTAGCTTTTTCTTGTTTTGTGCAAGCCTTCTCTTTAATTCTAAATACATTAAAAATGTTTTTTTTTGTTTGTTGTTTGAAAAGTAGTAAAGCGGTTTTATTAACATTGAAAATATTTTTGCCACCAAATCAAATATCAGGAAGCCATTATGTTCTCACATAAGAACAAAGTAAGGTCAAAGTAATAAAAAAGAAAAATTGCATAATAGTGAAGTCCCCTGTAGACCCCTATGACTTGTGCAATGGTCAGTAAGTGTTATGCAAATTTAATACATTTGCAAGAGTAGTACCGTTTTCAAATGTTATATGAAATACCTACAAGAAACATAATATCCATGATTTGTAAAATGCATGCCATTTGTAAACAATGACTTTGTTTACTCGCAATATATTTTGTCTTAAATAAAGATTAAGATATGTAGTCACATGTATTCAATTTCTAAAGACAAGATTGTATCACTGCATTAAGGCAAGACGCTACAGGCAAACCTTTTTTTCCCTCCCCGTTCAATATTTAGATTCTGGGCTAAATTGCTTCCAAAACATGTCTTCTTTTAGTTGAAAGAAAACATACATTTACTATATCTATTTACATCTCTAGATGTCAATTACAATATATAACTTTAAAGGTATCTATATTTTCAGGGTTATTACAGAAGGGTTTGCTCATATAACATTGTGTCTGATGTGTATATATATATATATATATATATATATATATATTTTTTTTTTTTTTTTTTTTTTAATTCAGGTATATGGTGTTTTTTTTCTGACTGTTAACATTATTTTCTTATTTGAAGTTATAAAAAGAGTTATCCAAAATTATTCTATAAAAAACTGTATCTCTATGTCAACTAAATGATAAAAACAGATCCTGGCTTAATCCAGTATTCATGTTTATGTTCTGGAAATGTGTGCAAATTAGTGAATATTTAATTAGATTAGGTTATATTAGAGTGCATCATTTTTCATATGCAAACATAACGTTTCACTTCTAAAAAAACAATTGTGTCAATGCACTGTGATTAATCAACTGGGAAAGGATAGTGATATATTTTTCCATTGATGATTTTGGTCCAACAATTTTGTTGAAATTATATAAAACATGTTTTTAAGCATAAGAAACCAACATGGATACACTTAAATAAAAAGAGAAGGAATATGGATTATGGAAGGATTCCATTAAACAGTTTCAGATTCACTGATCAGTGGCCAGATTTAGGATGTCAGTGAACTATAGAGACATTGTGACAAAAACAGACCATTGTGTTTACCCAGAATCCTGTGCTCTTGCCAAAGGCAGCACTGTGAGGTTTTTGCTCAGATACCACACAGTTCCACTAGAACTAGAGCGAAATGATGCCGCTGGAATCACAACCAGGCTTGTCTGTCCTACATTTCCCTTGTTTGCTTTACGGATATTTTCTAAATTGGCTAGACAGTGGGTAGTCTGAATGTCTGAACAACTATTCAGCCTCAAATAAAAGTTCAGGTTCATGTCAACAAGACACCAATCGTTTCTCGAAGATCTTTCACATAGGAGGGGTTCTTCCATTCAAAAACAGAAGTGCGGAGGTCAATTGGAATGTAAAATAATTTGAGATATGTTTTAAAAAGTTTTACCTTGATCACGTCAAGAGATGATGGAAACAACAGTAAGATGGTCAACATTGCCATTAAAAAATATGTAGATGAAAACGCTGAATTGATGGCTGTAGTGTCTTTGTTAAAGTGGATGCATTTAGTGCAACTTCTCAGGGAGTGTTTCATGCTACCAGTCTGACAGTACTTTCTCTACAATGTTCTTCAGAAATATCATTTTATTCATTATGGAAAAGCAAAAATGTATTCTCACAAATATTCTGTGCATCCTGTTTCAGTTTGATTGTCTTTTTTTTTCGTTATTTATATATTTTTGGCCTTTTTTATACCTTTATTGGATAGGATAGTGTAGAGACCAAACAGAGAGGGGAGTGGGATCGGAATCGAACTCGGGTCACCGGAGGCGCAGTTGCACTATAAGGCTCCGATGAAATTGTCCGAATGTCCCTTATATTACATTTAAGCAAATGAGTTTCGATTTCAAATGAATGAATAAAAAATTCATTTAAAAAAGTAATTATCTACTAGTTAAATGTATTTCTAAAATCTAAATACTAATTCGCTTTTTTTTCATTAAGTTTAAATTTAATTAAACAATTTTTATATTGTTACCAACCGAACAACCCCATGAAAAAAAATGAAAAAAGGTTTAACACAACACCATGTGATTACAATAATATGATGTTATTTTCTTCTGTGTTGGACATTTTGAACACATTGTAAGTGTCTCAATTTTTCCAAAATATTATCTACAATAACAAAACACATATGGGGTACATTGTTATGGTTTGCAATATTTTCGTGATTTCAATTCAAATTGGACCATCCGACCTATCTCTATGCGGCACATTGTTTACAGTATGGCACTGTTTTGTTATATTGGAGCTTGAAGTTCTGTGTCGGCAGCGCGAAAACACTCGCAAGTAGAGGAGCAAAGATTTACTCTCCGCTGAAAATGCTGCCATCATGTTTGTTTGGCACTATACTTAATAGTCATTCTTAAAATAAATGTTATTTGCTCTTATATTCAATAACAGGGAATGAATCAGTGCAACCAATACACTCACACGGTATCACAGCAACACAAATGGCAGTTAAGCCACCAACATCTTGCTTCAAATTATAAGTTATTAAACAGTCAGTAAAACACCACACAGCCTGGCCTCGCAGCTCGCTCAGGCAGAACAAACTGAGATTTCATTGTATCCATTCACATCTGGCTTTTTTAAGTCGTTGCCATAAGACAGCCATCATTAAACCACGTGAACTTCAGATATTATGGCATGTTAGCAGACTGATGCAATTATAGATTAGCTGGAAGGCCACTGAAGAGATGCATTGTGTGAATGCGAACAAAGTGCTTTTCAAGAACCCGTCTTTAGGTACAAGCTATAGAATTTTCTTTAGATGGTGGTTTAAGCATTCAACGCTTGGAGACTTTTCATTATTATACTCTGAAAAATATGGAAGGCTTATAGGAATTGAACGTCTACCTCCTGTCTGGCCGTCTCTTTTGTTTTGCATTGGTCACGTTGCATTCGCTCAGATTCACTCTAACGGAAAATAAAGCTGGCAGCGCTTGTATTTTCAGCAAAGTGTCTGGAATAAGTGAAGTGAAGTCATGTTATGGCACCGGTGCTCTTGATATCGAGAGCGAGTAATGATTTGATGCTGAGCTGACAAGCACAGGCAGATAAGAACAAATGAGGCATTCCGTGGGCATGAAGACAAAACATGACGCTTACAGATAAGTGATATGAATGGACTGTATAACAACTGGGGAAACGGTATAAATCATTTTTATTTTGCACCTTATTGAAAGATTGCGAGGGCCAAAAAGATTTAAGAAGTAACAAATACTACAGGGAACATGTGTTGTTGTTTAAGATCAGAATATTAAAATACACACACACACACACACACAAAGATCACTAAATTATTATGTACAGGTTTTATTTTTTATTTTTTATTTAGCATAATGTTATTAACATAGTAATAATTTATGCACTGCCTGTTATTCCCATAAATAAGTACCACAGTAATACATTGATGATAGAACTTGTCTCTACACCAAATTGAACAAAACCTTAGGTTTCATCATTTAAATATCGACACATAATGAATTTAAAACTAAAAATGAATGAATGAATAATTAACAATGAAGTTGTATATACGACTACTACTAAGTACTGTATATCCAATCTTATATCCAGTGGAGTGAGAATGATGGTGTAAAGAACCCAAGAGCAGTTTATTAATAATCTTAAAGATCTCAAAACATAAACATAAACTTCATTCAAGACATAAAACAAAACAAAACATGAAACTTGAGCTTGACTTGACTATAAACAATGACCTGGAACTTGAAACAGCATACGTACTTCAACACACAACAAGGAACCATGGCAAACATGGGCGCTTAAATAAAAGACAATGTGGAATCACATGACATAAACAACCAATGATAAAACAGAACTGATAACTAGGTAACAGGAAAATGAACCAATGTGAATATATATATATATATGCACATTGGTTACACTGTTTGGTTACAGACTTTTTTCAAAATATCTTCTTTTGTGCTCAGCAGAAGAAAGAAATTCATACAGGTTTGAAACATCTTGATGTTTATAGTATATTTTTATAAACTGTACAGTTTTATATTATATTATATTATATTATATTATATTATATTATATTATATTATATTATATTATAATATAATATTATATTATAATATTATTATATAATATTAAATTATATTATATTATATTATATTATATTATATTATATTATATTATATTATATTATATTATATTATATTATATTATATTATATTATATTATATTATTGCACCTCATAAAGCATGTGTTTGCTTTCCTGTTCTTTTAAGTTTTAATTGGATAATATAGTAATGTTTCAAATGTTACTTCTCTTTTTCCACAGATAAAGTGCCTCATTTCTCCAGACTTGGGGATGTGGAGGTGAACGCGGGGCAGAACGCCACATTTCAGTGTGTGGCAACCGGACGATCTGCTAAGACTGATCCCTTCCTGATGGAGGTTAGTGTGTATGAGGGAATTTGAATTTTCAGTCCAATATGAATTTTGCCTCAATAAACTCCTAATAATTGCTTATTAGTTAGTAAGTTAGTTGTTAATTTTATGGTAGGAACTGGGTAGGATTAGGGGATGTAGAATATGTTCATGCAGAATAAGCCATTTGTGCTTTATAAACTAATAAACAACCAATATCCTAGTAATATGCATGCTAATAAGCAACTAGTTAAAAGTGAGAATTGGACTCTAAACTAAAGTGTTACCGAATTGTCATAAGGTGCTATTGCTTAATGAAGCAGCAAGCTTAGACAAAACTATATTTGGGACTTTAAACTGCTGGAAGTCAGAAACATGTGACCTTCAGAATAGAATAAGAAAAACTCATTAAAATTCAGTGCACTTCCTTTTTAATTAAACAGCGGCAATTGCACTTCCCAGCCCTATTTAATTTGTAGAGGATAGTTGGACTTATTTTATTATTAAATGTCATTTATCTCTATATTATGTGCAGTGTTACAAAAATATACAAAAGTCATACTTGAATAACAGTGAGTCAAGTAAAATATTTTACAAAAATATTAGCCTTTTTGTTTTTGTAAAATATCTAAACATCTTTAAAACAAAACCCTTTGGCACCTTTTCTGTTTTTTTAAGAGAAATATTGCTAAATATATAATTGTATATCTTAATTTTAAGAAATATTTTGCAGTGTAGGACATCGACAAAGCTCAACCCAAAATTGCTACTACACACTTTTCTGTTTGTGATAAGATTATCATTTTCACCAATATAGCTGTATTATTTTATGTGGTTTGCAGTCACAAAAGTAACACAAATGTCTAGGGAAATGTATCAGGGGAAAAATATCAATTTTCCTTTCAAAATGTAATGGAACATATGGAAGCACGGAATAAAACAAATTTAAAAGATAATCGCAACTATTTATCCCGCAATTCTGACTTTTTTTCTACGAAATTGTGAGTCTAGATATCGCAATTCTGGAGAAAAAAAATCAGAATTGTGAGACAAAAGTCACAATTACCTTTTTTATTTTTTTATTCAGTGGCGGAAACAGGCTTCCATAGGAGCATTTATGATAAAATGCAATTGTACTTAACATGTGTTATGTAAATCTATACGTTGTAACTGTACCTTTATTATGCATCACTGAAAACAGAATTCACTTACAGCTCACCATACAGAATCTTCTTGAGGATTTGTATTTAGTATTCCTTTATCACATCCAGTTTATGATTTATGGTGAAACTAATAGGTCAATAATACTTGGAGATACCCGTTAACATTCTCATTAATCTCAATGGCAGCTGGTTGTCTGGTGCAGGGCCCCCCAGAATTTTTTTTAAATCTGCTATCTTTGCTCATGGACCACAGAATGTTTTCAGGCAATAACCTGAGTCACACATGCCATAGAATCACTTTACAACAGGAAAATGACTTCATGACTTTAATGAGTCCACTGCAGTCAAGTTTATATAAACCAAATGCAGCTTTATTTCCCCAAACATGATCAAATATAAAACAAATAAAGACTAGGCTTGGCTAACATGGCTTGAGAAACATAGACTTAGCAAACATTGGTTACATGGACAAAGCCAGACAAAGGAACAGTGGAACATGAGGGCTATTAATACACAAAGACTAATGAGTAACAATAAACACTTGAGCATGATCAAGACAATGAACCAATGACAAAACAGAACTGAAAAACACATGAACTGAAACAATCAATCAGAACATGACACATTCAAAAGGAAAGCACATGAGGAGCACATGAAGTACATGTCAAACAGGAAGCAGGAGTCATGACTGACGCAAAATTACAAAATAAAAGACATGAAAACATAAACAAAACCTAAACCAATATGACGTATCCCTCCCTCAAAAAGGGCAGTTTCAGACACCCTAATAGCACACCCACCCAAAACCCAAACAGAGTCCAGGAGGGTGGAGGAGCATTGGCGGGCCTGGACCGTGGAACAGTGGCAGACTGTGGAGCATTGGCGGGCCTTGGCCGTGGAGCAGTGGCAGACTGTGGAGCATTGGCGGGCCTGGACCGTGGAGCAGTGGCAGACTGTGGAGCATTGGTGGGCCTGGACCGTGGAGCAGTGGCAGACTGTGGAGCATTGGCGGGCCTGGACCACGGTGCAGTGGCAGACTGTGGAGCATTGGTGGGCCTGGACCGTGGAGCAGTGGCAGACTGTGGAGCATTGACGAGCCTTGGCCGTGGTGCAGTGACAGACTGTGGAGCATTGACGGGCCTGGACCGTGGTGCAATGGCAGACTGTGGAGCATTGGTGGGCCTGGACCGTGGAGCAGAGGCAGACTGTGGAGCATTGACGGGCCTTGGCCTTGGTGCAGTGGCAGACTGTGGAGCATTGACGGGCCTGGACCGTGGAGCAGTGGCAGACTGTGGAGCATTGGTAGGCCTGGACAGTGGAGCAGGGGTAGGCCTGGATTGTAGAGCAGTGTCGAGCTTGGACTGTGGAGCAGAGGGTCGTGATTAGGGTTGGGTATCGGTTGGGTTTTATCCGATACCAGTACCTACTCGGTATTTTTTTAACAGTTCCGGTGCTTAAATGGTTCTTGAAACGGTACTTAAGAAAACAAAACCGCACACACTCTATCAAAAAATAATACCCTTTTATTTACAGGGCCAAACTGGACACAATATTAACTTAAATCTTTAAACAATATAAATACAAGTAACATATGGTAATAATAAAACCAATATAAAATAAAAAAAATTAAATTACATTTGACATTTTACACATTTACATAATATCAAATAAAACAATATTGTTTCAAACAATGTAATAATACTGGAGATTAATAGAGATTACTAGCAGAGCTGCCAACTCTCATGCATTGACCGTGAGACTCACGCAATTGACCCTTTTCACACGCTCTCACGCCACACATCCATTTTCTCACGCAAAAAAAAAAATCGCGGACAAAGAGGACACCGACAGACAAGACAGAGAAGGTTACTTTTGATATGGAACAAATCCACAGCTGTCAGATTCTGTCAATATTTTTACGAGATTCACACAATAAATAACGTTTTGGCTCTTTGAAATGTGACAGATCGCTATAGCGCGTCAGTTCAAACGGCACGTGATACAGCAGCCTACAAATCCACTGCTTCTTAGCTACGCAGCGTTGAGTGAACCTATGAAAGAGAACATCTCTGGTTACTGGTGTAACCTATGTTCTCTCAATAGGGCACAAGACGCTGCCAAGCTCCTCGCGCTGCCGACCAGCTTCCTTTTTCGGCAGAGAAATCTGAGGAGCAGATGGCGCGCACGCGCCAACATAATATGACGACGTAAGTGCATCGAGGCGGCGCCTGCGCCATTAGCCAATGAATTGGCTTGATTCTATATGGGATTCAGACTATCGGCATATTCTGACTATTCAGACTATTCTGACGCGTAATTTTACACGTGAAATGCAGCCAAACCTTGCAAGCAAGAGCGCGCATGCGAGACAGAAGAGACTGTGCGTGTGTGTGTGCGTGTGTGCCTAATTAAGTCAGGCACCGAAATCAGGCACCGAAATTGTCGTTCTTATTCGGTCTGGTTACTACCGTTTACGTCGGAACCAGTTCCCTATTGGCACCGAGTTTCGGTACCCAACCCTAGTCGTGGTGGACTTGGGTCATGGAGCAATGGTAGACCTTGGCCATTGAGCACTGGCGATGCTGAAGACCAACAATGCATAGCAGAGGACAACCACAATGGAGCAGGCGGAGCTGGTCCCCACCATGGAGGAATATAACCACCTTCTCAGTTGAGCCTGGAGGCTCCATGGTGGAGTTGGTGGATCGGGAGGCCCTTGCAGAGAAGCAACATGAACGGCCTCCATGGCTGTGGCATGGGGCACAGTATGTTCATGGACGGCCACCATGGCCGTGGCATGGGGCACAATGATTTCAAGGACAGCCTCTGAGGTTGTAGCATGGCAGGCAGAAAGTTCAGGAAAAGGTGCGGCCGCATCTGGAAGGGCTGTAGCGGACATTGCCAACCCTGGAAGGGATGTAGCGGATACCGGCACCTCTGGAATGGCTGTAAAGTGGCAGGAACTCAGGGACCACTGGACTTCGGACCACTGGTCGGAAGCGCTGGCCTGTGGACCACAGTCAGCATGGGAACAGCCTCCCTGGATGGGAATATTAAAAAATTATCTGGGAGACTCTGGCGTTGGGGATTGTGGAGTCACTTATCCACAATTTCCACAGTAAACAAGGGACCACTCAACAGAAGGGCATGGTTTATGTATTCTGCCAGGGACCAGTGGGTCTTTCCCCAAGAAGCCGCAAGCAAGTGGGTTCATTTAAACCCACACGAAAATGGTTCTTAAGGGCAAAGTCATTAAAATGCTCTTGGTAAGATAAACTCCTTAACATAGTCCTCAATACTCGGAATGCCTTGACGGAGGCGAAGGAGACAAACTGCTGGGTTCATGATTACGGTCTAGTTCCCTTTCAAGGGAACTTCGAGTTGCGTTTGAGACGCGGTGGGAACGCTCTGCGTGATTGCGTCATGAAGCACGTGTAAAATCAGTCCAATGGAAGCCCGATACGTCATAGGTGACGTCATAGACCAGGAAACTATAAAGCACCCTTGAAAACAGACCGCGACGGCTTCTGTTGTCTTCAGTAAGCGCTCTCTGTTACTCTGTCCTTGTCTATTTATTGTTGTCTGTCCGATCATTACATATATATATATATATCATTATGGCGAGCAAGCAAGATTACAAACGTTGTGTTGTCCCTTGCCCTCGTTTCATTACGGGTGGGGACACACATCAGATGTGTGTTGCTTGTTTGGGAGTGGAGCATGCCCAGTCGGTCCTCGAGGGGGCTGACTGCGAGCATTGCATGAGTTTGTCCATGAAAACTCTCCGCTCTCGCCGGGCATTCTTTGAGGAGGATGGTTCGGTTCGTGTTCCCCGAGGTGCGGGTCCCGCGGCTGCCGAGGCAC